AGACGTTTCACCTCTCATCCGAGAAGCTTCTTCAGTTCTAAGGTCAAATGGTGGAGAGTCCCAGATATAAACCTAGTGGGAGTGACCCCCCACAGAGGGACAAAAGGACCCCCTGATGATCCTCTAATCGCCTGAGCCAAGGTGTGAAACTGGGTGTGGGTCCCAATCAGCCAGAGTTTCGGGTGTGTTCATTGTGAAACCTGGCCCCACCTTATCATGCGAATTCCTGAGGTCAGATGGCCCAGGATGTGAAGCCAGGATGAGTACCCAGCCACTGGTACAGATATGTGGACGACACCTGGGTCAAAATCAAGACACAAGAAGTGGAATCCTTCACTGCGCACATTAACGCTGTGGATAAAAACATCAAGTTCACCAGGGAAGACACAAAGGACAACTGTTTGCCTTTCCTGGACTGCGCTGTGCACATTGAAGAGAATGGCAAACTCAACATCGAAGTTTACCGGAAGCCCACACACACGGACCAGTACCTCCTCTTTGACTCCCATCACCCTTTGGAACACAAACTTGGAGTAATTAGGACCCTACACCACCGGGCAGAACATGTTCCCTCTAAGCCTGAAGGAAAAAAGAAGGAACACACACATGTAAAGGAAGCACTCAAAACGTGCGGCTATCCTAAATGGGCGTTCTTAAAGTCAGCAAAGAGGCACAGAAAAGAAGACCAGACACCAGCGAGGGAGGATAAGAAGGACAGACGCAACAACATTGTCATCCCCTATGTAGCCGGTGTATCAGAGAAACTCAGGAGAGTTTTCTCCAAGCATGACATCCCGGTGTATTTCAGACCCAGCAACACCTCAGACAGAAACTGGTTCACCCGAAAGACAAAACGCCAAAACACAAACTTAACAACTGTGGTGTATGCTGTACAGTGCAGCGAGGAATGCCCAGACCTCTACATTGGAGAGACCAAACAGCCACTTCACAAGCGCATGGCACAACACAGAAGAGCCACCTCCACAGGACAAGACTCAGCAGTCCATCTGCATCTTAAGGATAAAGGACACTCTTTCGAGGATGCCAATGTTCACATTTTGGACAGAGAGGACAGATGGTTTGAAAGAGGAGTGAAAGAAGCCATCTATGTCCACTGTGAGCGACCACTGGCGTGCACAGATAGAGACGAGGTGGTGCTGAAGCACTTGCCCTTTTGCCCTCAGTCCAAAAAAGTGCCCTTTTGAAAGACGTGATTTTTTTTTTTTAAAGCTGCGCGATTTAAAAAGGTGTGAAAATAATGGCTTGATTTGTGCCCCTTCTTCAAAGACACCCGAACCCTGTCGCTTTTTCACTGTCACCGTGTCACGTGAACACGCTTGCAGTTCATTTGTTGTGAGGCGTGTAGCAGCGGCATGACATAGGACTACTTGGAGTAGGCATAGTAGGCTAACTATAGCGACTGGGAGCCACGGCGGACAACACGGCAGCTCTTTCCCTTCCCAACCAGTCAGGTAACCCATGAATCGAGTGAAATTATTCTGTTTGCCCTCTAAGACCAACCTGCAATTGTTTTGTTGTGAAGTAGCCTGTCAGAAACTGCACATGACAAACTTTGCCAGCTTGCCCCCTCCATCCATCCATATGGATAAACAAAAAAACGACACATTTAAAATGTAACCTAAACCATTTAGGCAACCCCACTCTCCATCAATTCCGACCTTTTTGCATACACTATTGAAAATATCACGTTATGCTATAGGCTACATGCCGTTAGGCAGAGGGCTCTTTTGAGCCCATTTTTCGTTACAAATTTTAGGATGATCTCACGGAAATCTGTGAATAAATACAAAGTTTTCAAACTGAAGTCAGTGACGGGAAGACATCACACTTTTTAGAGATGGAACTGCAGAAAAACCTAAAACCTTGACATGATTATGAATAATAGAATTATGGACGTTTCTCCGTTTTTGTGGATTAGCCTTTCCATAACTAACGTCAACTACTGTCCTACTTTGGTAAGATTGAAATTAATGTCTTTGACTGTTTTTCAAGCAACTTAAAGAAGTCCAGACGCTTTTCTTTGCAAGCTCCTTTGACTATGATGACCTGGATGACTGAGAACCTTCACAGACAAAACTTTGTACCATTTCTGCCACTAAATGTAAATTACAGAAACTTAGTTGATCTTCAAGCTAACAATGTGATTAATTACACAATGCTAGTTCTGAGCCAGAGCCTTAAAGCGTATAAAACCAGGACAAGGCTTCTTGGATGGAGAAATGAAGCCAATGTGAAAGTGTCTTCAAACTGCCTGCAGTGTCACTGAAGGCCACCAGATGGCGATAGTTGTGGCTGCAAAAAGACTGCCGGTCCTGTAGAGGTCTATGGGAAAATTGCTCTCTGTCTTGACCTCTCTGAAGACTTTCTTGCTAAGTTTATGGACTCACTTAACCATTTTGGGTCATGCTGAATGAAATGTAATTCTGTTTTGTAACTCTTCAAGATATTCTATTTCAAAATGGTGGATTATATGTGGTATGAAACCGCATACTCATTGGCTAAAGAGATATCAGTCACTAGTCAGTAGCCAGTGAGTTACTGAGGTTTTAAAGCTAGACCCACCCTTCCTCAGCACATTCATTGTTTTGCAACAAAGGTTAAAGTCAAGATAGTCACATTTATCCTCTATTCTCTCTATAGTTGGACCCACTATTGCTCTCAGAACCGCCTTAATTCTTCAAGACACAGAAACATTCCTCAGAGATTTTTGGTCCTTACTGGCATGATAGTGTCACAGTTGCTGCTCATCCATGATGCAAGTCTCACATTCGACCAAATCTCAGAGGTGCTGTATTTGTTTTTATTTAATTTATATAACCCTTGGAGGGTTTGAGCGTTGTGACATGACCATGTCCGTTCCTTTGCAACCACAGTGTAGCCATCAGAAGATGCTACATTCCCTGAAACTGTCCCCACACTAATACAAAACCAGCCTAAACCACTGATACAAGGCAAGATGGATCCATGCTTTTATCTTGTTAGCACACAATGATCTGAATGTGGCAGTAAAAATAGAGACTCATTAAACCAGGCAGTATTTTTCCAGTATTCCAGTCCAATTTTGGTGAACCTGGTGTGGTCTTCTGCTGCTGTAGCCTATTCGCTTCAAAGTTTGATGTGCTGTGAATTCAGAGATGTTTTTCTGCATACCTGAATTGCAACAGATGTTTATGTGAATTATTGTTTCCTTTCTGTTAGTTCAAAGCAGTCTGGCCATTCTTCTCTGACCGCATTTTTACCCAGAGAACTGCCACACACTGGATACTTTTTCATTTTCTGTCTATCATCTGTAAAACCTGGAGATGGTTGTATGGAAAAATCCCAGCAGTTCAGCAGGTTTGGAAATACGTAGACATACTTAGACATCTGAACATGGCACCAATGTCAAAACACCTTGCAAAAAACAGAGATGCTCTAAAGCATTTATCAAGTAAGTTCCAGGTGACCCTGTGACACGTACAAGGCTCTCTGGATCTTTTGCAGCTGTACGCTGAAAGGGCACGGGAAATATTTACATTCAAGGCATCAAAGAAATAACTGTTGAGTGATCTTACAGGAGCCCACTATGGAGCAAAGCCAGAGTGTGCTCTACTCTACATTTAATCACATCCCGGCTATTCTAGCCCTTCACATAGTTCAGGCACATGCCTTACAGCTCTGGCTTTAAAAAGGCTTTGTTACAATAAAACTAAGCTCTCAGAAACTCATATCAATTGCACCAGACTTCTGAGTATCAGTGGCAGGCTTTGGGAGTTTTCAAAAAATCCTTGCTGCACTATAATGTAATACCACCTACATATACAGTACACTTCTTGATTTCTTAGTTTTTTTTTTATATTTCACATTACTGTGGATGAATTTTGGCCCACTCTTCTCTGTAGAATTGCTTTAATTCAGAGGGTTTTTGAGCATGAACAGCCTGTTTAAGGTCATGCAAAAACAAGTCTGTTGGATTTAAGTCCAGAGATTGACTAGGCCAATCCAACACCTGCATTCATGCCATGCAGAGGTGGACTTGCTGGTGTGTTTCTAATCATTGTCCTGCTGCATAAGTCAAGTACTCTTTACCTGCGGATGTTCTCCTTTACTGTTAGAGAGCAGAATTCATGGTTTCATCAACTATGGCAATTTGTCCAGGTCCTGAAGCAGCGAAGCAGCCCCAGAACATCATACTACCACCACCATGTTTTACTGTTGATGTTCTTTCTATGAAGTTTTAATGCAAGATGTAACGGGACTCAAACTTTCCATAAAGTTCAGCTTTTGTCTCATCAGTCCACAGAATATTTCCCCAAAAGTCTTGGGGATCAACAAGAGGTCTTTTGGCAAATTTAAGATGAGTCTTTGTATTCCTTTTGGTCAGCAGTGGTTTTCTCCTTGGAGCTCCTCTATAGATGTGATTTTTTCCCTTTCATATTGTTGAATCAAGAACTCAGACCTTAACTGAGGACTGAGGTCTGTAGTTTATTTTTCTTGTGTGATTAATTATAGTTAATTCATGATTTAACACGGTGGTTGTAAGTCTGTTTTGAATTTACTCAGGTTATTTTTATCCAATATTGTGTAAACTTTGATGATCTTAAATGTAAATGTGAAAAAAAATTAAAAAGTAGAAAGACAGCAAATACATAGTCCTCACAGCTCTGTACACTACATGACTGAAAAAAAAATCACTTAGTAATTCTGTTTTCAAGTAATTTTTATGCACACAAATCAGCCCAGACAAGCAGCAAATCAGACAGTAGTTTCCTAAATATTGATACTATTTACTAAACACTGTTATCTCTGTTATCAATACCAAGAACTGGACTGAAATAAAGATCATTGTTTGGGATAATTAATATTAAATACTTATAGCAAAATGAAAATAAAGGAACAGCAAATTCAGTGAGCCCCATTCACTTCTGTCATCCAGTGGTTTACATGACACTAATATAACAGTGAGGATAACATGATGTGAGATGACTGCAGGAGAGGAAAGCAGCACATAAACATAAAAAGGATGTGGAGCTGAACTCTGAGATGCCATCTTCTCTTCAGTTGGCTTCTTGAATTTTTTCCTTCTTGGGCTCCTTCTTATCTTCTCTAGTAATTTGAGCTGCAAGGCAGGGGGGATTTTTATTCAGTAAAAACAAAACAAAAAATTACTTAATCTGTTAGGTGCTGAGTAGGTAACATTAATGTCTGTAGTGTGTTTTTACTGTTTTATTGGTTTTTAAAAAATGCTGAAGCAGAACTGTAGTTCACTGAAGGTCACACCTCCACATAACTGAGGAGAGTTGCACAGCTTGGCGATGATTGTCTGTAGATTCAATTAATAATTATTGTTGAATTAAAAATAAATGAATACAGCTGAACCGTTTAAACATTCTCAGTGGACATTTAAAACCTCATAAATGTGGAGACTGTAATAAAGTCCATAATTCTCTGTCAAATCCCTCCTAAGAACTTATCATATTATCATCATATTACAGGTTATTTTGGAGCTTGACAGGGTAAATTATGACAATTAAAAATGCCAACTTTTACTCTGTGCAAATGTGATTTTATTTTTATGTTTGCAGTTATGACAGAAATTGCAAATCAGTTTTTAACAGGATTATTTTTCTGCAGCACAATTTAGAGCTCTATAATTTCCCAATAATCCCCAAGACATTATCTCAGAAAGAACTTCATAAAATGTTAGTATTTAACAGAAAAAACAGAAAAGGCTCGGCGGGTTTAATTCATAATTTAAATGAATTGTTAGTTGGACTCAAAGGACTTCGGCAGAAACTTGTTTATCTCTTAGTAAGTGTGCAGCCTGAGAGCCAATTCAGGATGTGGGGAAATATCAAACTGAATGGGTTTCTTTATCTTTCTTTGTTAATGAATGTCCAATTTTACTCATGGAATAAATACATAAATACAAGACTGTTGTGTCGAAGATTTTCTGTGGTGTGTGGTCAGTTAATATTTTCCAAGAAACCATTTCACATCAAATGTGGATGGTTTTTTTTTGTATTCTGCTATTAACACTAAAATATATTTATATATTTTTCTTTAATTATTTGATGAGTTCATGTGTGCGTGAATGTTTTTCTTTAAGAACAAACAAGGGAGGTGGAAGGGGGTGTTAAAGGAGGATGCTGGAGAAAAAGTGCAGTCTAAGTGGGGCATGCAAAAGAGGACACATGCATTTCATGAACTACTTACGGCGAACCTCCAGTTTACACTCCACTGTGTCTTCACCGCTGTCGTTGACTGCTTTGCACGTATACACCCCCCCATCAAATGGACAGGGCTTACGGATCTCCAGCGTCAGGACACCTTGCTTACTGATCATCCTATACTTGGCTTCATTTGAGATGTCCATTTTGTTTTTGTACCATGTTACTTTGGGCTAATAAGGGAGGAAAAGTAGAATTATGTAAGTATATATTTTTGGGAAAAGATTTTGGAAAGCAGTTTAAATATTGATTGAATAACATAATAATAATACAATTAATACTACTACTACTACTAATAATAATAATAAAGATTTCAGGGTGGTCAAGATTATAATGATTACAGTTTGTTCAGTGACTTCCTCTCCACCACAGCTTCAAAAGTTTCCAGTTTGTAGCCAATCACAGAGCCAGCTTTGCTGATCTGTTCATTCAGCGTGCTGGAGTCTTGCTCATAGGGGGTCATCTGATGGTGGGGTTTTCTCTGTACTAGTTTAGGATTTGTAAAGTGCTTATTTATTTGCTTATTTATTTGCATTCCTGAAGTTTTTCTGATAGAGTTATTCTTTCTATCTATATCTATCTATCTATCTATCTATCTATCTATCTACACACACACACACACACACACACACACACACACACACACACACACACACACACACACACACACATGATCTAAAAAATTGTTAAGCACTGTATATAAGCAAAGGAAAATGTTTAACAAGGTTTAATTCTAGTAAAAGTGAATATCTTTGAAACATCTAATTCATACCCTACAGACCTTTGGTATTCCTCGCACGGCGCAGCTTAGGGTGGCGTTGTATCCTGCTATGACAGAACGGTCCACCAAAGGGCGTGTAAACTTGGGAGCCTCTGTGAAGTCATGATCCTTGTAGTTGGGTGGCTTGTATATGATACCTGAGAGGACAATTGGATATTTTCCTTTCAGTTCCAAAGAGCATATAATCATAACCACAAGTGCATCACACTGGCTATATTTGCTCACCTGTTTTCTGAATGTAAACACTGTCTTTTGTGCAGTACGGCTCTGGGCTGAGGCCCACAAGGTTTATGGAAAAGACTCGGAACACGTACTCATTCCCCATGATGAGGTCGGACACAACACAATGGGTTCGCCGGTACTGATCATGGACTGTATACCATTCCTTCACATTAATTTCAAAAAACACACGAAAAAACAGATTGAGTGTTTAAGTACCACTTTAAAGACAAATGTAACTGAATGAGTGAGGAAAAAGAATGAATCATCATACTTTTATAAATTGGTTTTATTTAGAGTCCAGAAGGGTGTCATTCATACTTATTTAAGTTTTCAGCTTAAAGACACCTGAAGCTACTCTGGATGGCTATGATAATATTTCATTTTATGACATTTAATCTTTACATTAAGGCACAGCCCACATAAAGTTACACAGGATATATTGTTTGTTCACTGAGACAAGGGTTTATTTAAAGGACACCTGCCCTAAGTGCTTTTATCTATGCCACATAACAGGTACACTGTTTTTGGTAACATGATAATAAACACTCCTACCTCACTATGTTGCAAGCAAACTTAATTTGATCTAATAATAATGGCTGGAGTGAAACATGAGCACTTGCTGTGCTGGCAGGGTAACAATGGTCCTGCGTCACTGTGCAGACAATCTGGACCAGCTCAAAGCTACAAGGATAAGATTAGGACATTCCTGGCTGACACTGTTCCTGGCGGCTCGAGGTGGAGGATGGTGGCAGTTGGAGCTCTTGCCAGGAGGCCAGATATTACATCACTAGTGACCCACAGAGGAAAGTTACTGGGAAGAGTCTGAATCTGACTTTAAAAAACAAGAATTGGGTGTTCAAGATCAAATTTATTTGCAGTTTTCGATAATCCACACAGGATCAAATGTCAGCAAAAAGGCTCAAATATACACAACGGGTTCGCCATTAAAGTCACTTTAATTTTTTAATAAATGGTTTTGAAAGGTTCTGCCTTATATCTTAACAAGCACTCACTGGAGTAACCAATACTAACAATAGGATCTAGGAAGGAGAATTGTAGAATTGGGCAGGTCTCTTGGAGACGTTTCTAAACAACTGCAGATTTCAAGATAAGGAGTTTACACAATTGTACGTAACTACAAGTTATTTAGATCTGCTACCATTTTGCTAAGGTCAGAAAGAAATTTAAACATCAGATGAGAACCACCAAGGCTCAAAGCTGCCACTAACTGGAAACTGCTGGAACACCAGTGTTACCGTTCACAATAAGGTTTAAATCGCCACAGACTGAGAGGTTATTGACCACAGCAGAAGCCTTTGCTCCAAAATCAGCATTTTCAAGGTGGACTGAAGTTTGCAGCTTCACACCCGAACAGGCCAAATGACTTCTAGAGAAAAGTTTTGTGCTTAGATGAGACAAAAATTAAGATGTTTAGCCAAAATGACAAGAGGTATGTTTGGAGGATGGTCAAAGTGGTAACATCATACTTTGGGGCTGCTTTTCTACCAGTGGTACTGCTGCATTGCACAAAGTGGACGGAATAATCAAACTTGGACACAGACGGATGTTCCAAAAAGACAATGATCCCAAACACACATCAAAACCTGCTTTGCAGTGAATAAAACGTTTAGCTTCTTTCGCGAACCTCCCAACCTAAACCCTACTGAAAATGTGTAGGCCTCCTTAGAAATTGGGTCTGTGTGATGCCAGAGGCTTGTTGATGGCCACCAGAAGTATCTGGTCAAGGTGCAACTTGATAAGGGACAATTAACCAAATACCATAGGTTAACAGCTGAAAGAAATTATTTAAAAAACAAATTACTATAATATTACTCGCCTCTGTCAGTGCGCCCCAGGGTGGCTGTGGCTACAATGTAGCTTGCCATCACCAGTGTGTGAATGGGTGGATGACTGAATGTGTAAAGCGCTTTGGGGTCCTTAGGGACTAGTAAAGCACTATACAAATACAGGCCATTTACCGTTACCATTTATGCCCATGATGAGTTTATGTAAACTTAAAAACTGTATGTAAACTGACCACAACTGTAATATACTGACTGACTAAGTTGGTGCTGGGAGCAGGCTGTGGTGGATAAGTAGGGCTTGCTTGAGAGTCCCAAGCCTCATTGATTTAATAAATCTTTGTTAACTGCTGACTTATATTTAGACTTTGCTAACTTAAAAAATAGTTTGGTTACATTTAGGCAACAAAACTATGCAGATGTTTCCAAATACAAATTCCAGAAACCAAACTTCTCCCATGTGCCAGCAGAAACTGCATGTTCAGCATAAGCTGCTGTAATTAGAGGATATGTTCCAGGAGGGAGACTAAAATATTAATCTGACCTCATCCAGGACCACAGACGGTTGGGCCAGGGAGAAAGAAATTTAGATTTGAGTGTTATTATCTCTTCTACCTAACCTGACCACTGGAGAAACACACTAGCAACAAAAATTACCAAAGGTTCCCCATGTGGAACATATTGCACAAATTTCTATTACTGGCACAGGTACCATAAAGTTGGAACAGGCATGGTACCACAAGAAAGTCGAGCAAAAGTGCTTCCAATAGATTCTGTCCACCAGGATTTTCCTAACCTGAACGTCTGCTCTATGTAACTTTTGGTACTAAAAGGTGGAAAAAGGGAAAGGAAAGTATTAGGTAAATTAAAACATTAAATTAATCTCTGCTTTTATTGAATTTAGCTGCTTATTATTGGGTGGAAAAGAATGGAAAAACATGCTAAAAGCAAAAGCGAGTGTTTGGATCCAGCTGGAGTCCAAATAGCTTTTTAGCGCAGTCTCACCATAGTCTTCTTGTCGGCTTTCTGAATGGTGTAACCGGTTATTTCACAGTTTCCGTTGTCCTTTGGAGGCTTCCACTCAAGCGCCACATTAAAACCCCAGGTATCAACAATCTTTAGAGCCTCAGGAGGGCCTGGGAGGTCTGTAGAAGGAAAAAAAAATAGGAGCTCTCATTCAGTGTCCACTGACAAAACATCTGTGGTGCTGTTTTAATGCAGTGATTTTTTATACTCCGATTAGAAGTCAAACGTAGCTCTCCATTTGTTCAGTTCTGCTTACCAACGACCTGCAGTGTTACTGCTGCTTTGTCCTCCACGTTTTCAATCTGCACCTGGAGCTCATACTTCCCAGAATGTTTTCTCTCTGTTTTGCGGATGAAGAATATCGTGTCAACTTCACTGTTCCTAACACTAGCTATTGTGGGATCTAGGGGCTCCCCATCTTTGCTCCATGTGACTTTTGGCCTGGGTTTCCCCTGCATCACAAGAAAAGAGAAAGGAATGGCTGTAACTCAGATTGCTTCTGTGTTTGTCTGCAAATAAGAGACAAGAAAAGCAACCTTTCAGCTCTCTCCTGTCACACTTACAAGTTCAAACAGCAGCTCATAAACAGAACATTGCTCAGCGTTGCCACAGTTGGTCAGCTTGTCAAAACAAAACTGCAAACTCCTTCTTTGAACACAATCAGGGCTGAGGTGATAGAGTGAGGGAGATGAGGAGCAGTTCTCTATAGACTTCAGTACAACCTGTCTTCTTTTTACAAACTCAGGACTCACCCACTGCTGGTCCATTAGAGTGTGGGTTCAAAACATTTCTACTGTGGCTTCCCTTTTCAGACCTGGACCTGGACCAGTCTATGGTCAATATCAAAGGCACCTCATTTTGAAAGTGGTTGACCTCAAAGTGGCATCACTACACTGCTTTGGTCCAGAGTTAAAAAATCTTAAATACTTTTGAGGAAACTACTGTGAATTTTCCCCCAAACAAGTTTTCCAAGCAATTATCTGACCTTACAGTTGAAGTTTCCTGATTCCAAAGAGCAGATTCTTAAGTGGCCTCATTCCTAATTACTGACAGCCTACATGTTAACATGAAAGTGACTTTTGACCTGGCGCCGTCTTTAGACCAAGGTTTACATTTTTTTATGTCCGTGCTGGGAAAGGTGAAATAATCCTACCTTTTTATCCATCCAGTCACACTGATATGACCACCAGATATGACCAATAATGATAAAGACATCAGTCATGTTTTACTTTGATATCAAACATAGGTAACATCCCGTGTTGTGTTTCATGTGTTCATGAAGCCACCTGAAATGGAATCACGATGTTCATGGTGTCTCCAACTTTCTTGATAAGAGTCTGACGGAGATTTCTGGGAAGCCAAATTTTAGGGCGTTCTGTGAAAATAAAACACAAAATAAGAGTATGAAAAAATGGCTGAGTATTGTGTATCACGTCCATGTAGGGAACTAAAGGATGCAAGCGAATAATGAAGCGTGTAATCTATAATTACTCACGCATAATCTCTCTGATGGTGACGGGCTGAGCCAGAGTGGCGGGAGCACTTGGTCCCGCCATGTTGTAGGCTCGCACACGGAACTGCAGCTTGTCTCCGGTGGTGAGGCCTTTGATCACCGTCGACGTCCTCTCTGTCAGACCCTCCATTGCTGGTATCCATTCATCAGCTGTTGCCACAAACCACAAAAAAATTCAAATAAATCAAACCACAGAGTTATGATGTGGAAATTAGCATAAATGCAACTTGCTCCGCTACGTACTGCCCTCCTTGCAGTACTCAATCCCATAGCCCTCAAGGTCAGCTGAGCCAATTCTCTCAGGCCGCCGCCACTTCAACGTGATAGAAGTGTCACTGACGTCGTCGACGCACAGTCCAAGGGGCTCGCTTGTAGGAGCTGAGGAAGAGGCAGAGAGCACATAAATGTCCCTATGAGTCAGCTAGAGCTTTAAAGCAATACATTACTTTAATTAATTACTCGACAAGTGGATGACAATAATCAGTACAAGATTATTTAACCCTTCTTCAGAGCCATCATCACATTACACTGCAGCTTTCCTTTTCTTTTGTTCCACACCAGGTCAAGTCAGCAAGCTCCAAGTCATCGACAGTAAGAAAAAAAAACTCCCTTCTTAAAGTCTACCTAATAAATTGCATTTCATTACACTTTAGAGTCCTGTTCCAAAAAAGGAGGCCTAGTAAAATTTGTGAACCCTGTAATGAGGAAAAGCTCAAAGCCAGAGGGCTAACTCAAACCTCAGGTTAGTTATGAGGAACAGGTCTTCTCTCCATTTCCTCCACTTTTGCTGCACATTATGTCTTTCTTGAAACCCCAGGTAGATGCTAGTTTGTCATTCATTTTATTTAAAATAATTCCTTCCACAATCAGTCTGTCATCAGTGTCAGGACAGTGACAGAGAGCTTTAGAATTTAGGGATCATATATATTATATATTAATGCACAATCTTTTTAACTTTTTATCCTCTTACAATTGATCACATCAATGATAAAAAGGCCTTTTGTAGATATTTTTTAGAGATGATGTTAATATTTGAGTGAAGATGAATGTTGTGTTGCTAAATGCAGTATAATGTGAGATTTTTAATATAGGCTCCACATAGTGTGAATGTTATTAAATGCTCTCGACTGTACATTTAAAATGTAAAATCTCCATGACCCCAGATACCTTTTGCATCAGAAATCACCATAATCTATCTTAGTGGATCTCACTGGGTCCTATTTTGTGTGTCAGTTTATGGCTGAATAAAAATATTTAAAACTCTAATGTAAAGAGAATTTAAGGAGAACATGCCAGGTAAGCAATGACTGAGAAAAGAAAATCACTATTTTTCCTCATCTTATATTTAAATTAATTTATTTTTAAGGCAAAGATCTACACTTAGTTAAAAAGCAGGTTTTAGAGCATTTTAATTGAATTATGACAATAATGCTGTTTGCCTTGCAGTAATTTTACTAACAGACCATCCAGAATTTCCTGTGCTGCAGTTTTGATGAATTCTGTATAGATATCTGGGCTAATTTGCATCTTTCTTTCCTGCAGTGTTCCTCTACACTCTATAATTGTATATATAGCTTGCTAGTATAAGCTTGACTACATCCAATAAGATAATAATCGACAGCATTTATTACATTTCTGTGTTTAAGAAGCAGTGGTAGACCGTCAAATTAAATTCAGTATGCACTTGTGTAAGTTCTTGTTAGCATACACAGATCATACTCAGGCAGCTGTAGTGGGAGGTATGTGAAGATGAGCTATTGGTCTTATATAGTCCACAGGGTTTAGCACAATCTTCATCTCCAATAATGAAATTCAGCGTCAGGTTGCCTAATCCTGTCCTAACTTGAACAACAAAGACATATTAATTAAATATTAAATGTTATTAGTTATCAAATGGCCGTTTAGCCCATAAGCCAGATTTAGGCATCATTTTCCATCCAGTGAAATATGAGTCTGTGAATATGACTGACCTCGACTTGCCAGGCTAAAGTCCAAGTGGCTGTGATACTTTGTGTGACAGGTGATTTCAGACCTGTGGCTCTGGAGCGCTATACAGCTCTTTTGCCTGGGAGTTTCTCATCCATAGAGACCAAGATGGTCGATTTTCGGCCTTACATCTTTGGATTGAATCTTTTCTTTTAGGAGGACAGTTAGAAGAACAGCTTCAATGGGTTAATTAGAATTTGTGTGAAACAGAGGAGGAACTGATTTAGTGGCTAGTTTAGCCCTATTGTTATCACTCTGAGGACAAACTGAAAGCATATGCGGAACTGTGAACAAACTGAATAGCTACTCCATCTTGCCCTTAAACACGTAGAAACCAAATGTGTAAAGTTTCAAATATTGTGTGACTATTTCTGTGTGTGTTGCACAGCCAGTAAACGTGTTAGGGAATGATTTGATGAGCAGTCAGTGCACTGACAAATATTTACTTAATCAAAATTCACTGCCAGCATGACCTAAATATACAGTCAGCTATGACCATAATAATTTTGCTAGTGTGGATTGAACCTTTTTCTAAAACCTGCATGATAATCCAACAAAAAATAAAATCAAATAAAAATCACATCCTAAAATCCTAAATCAAAACAATGCCTACTGCAAACAGGCTGTGGGTCTGGCTCAGCGGCAGCAGCAGGCTCCACGGGGGTCTGCACTGCTGGGGCTGCAGCTTCCTCTGCAGGAGAACCACTTTCTGTCAGAGTGACACCTTTTGCTGGTGTTTCATCCTCAGCTGGTGCTCCCTCTTCTCCACTGGGTGCTGCCTCTGCACTACTGGCTCCAGGTTCCTGTTCTGCATCAGGAGGTGGAGGTGCCTCTGTCTCAGCTTTACTGTGTTCACAGTTTGCTTGTGCATTCTCTGGAGCCCCAGCTGCCGTTTCTTCCACAGGTTCCAAAGACTTCTTATCTTCCACTGGCTTCTTCTCAGCCGTCTTTGAGAGCTTAGCCTTTGTCATGTTTTTCCTCAGTGCATAGACGTCCTGCTGTTAATTTAAACTGGTGGTTGTATCTGCTTCTTCAACGTGGTCTTTTTCTTTCTCTCATTGACAGTCTTCTCTTCTCGTCCTGCTGTCTTTGTTGTAATAACGATGCTTGTTCTGCAGCAGCCTCCACAGAAGCAGTGACCCCCCTGTGTGTTAAGCAGCTGGTCCCAGCAGAGTCAAGGGCTTCCAGGCCATTATTTATAGAGAGGGATGCCATGGATAGTTTCCCAATCAGCTGTCTTAGGAGTGACTGACCATCTGGATACACTGATGCTCCCTCTTAAATCAACAAGTGTAGGATAAGATTGCAGTTTAGATAAATTAGTGCCACAATAAAAGACAACTAAAACCTGACCTGCTGAATGAAAAATGACAGTCATAAAGAGTGCATCTAACTCCAAACCTTGTTTGGCTGTGGAACTGGGCACTTGCATATGTGGCAAGGCACCATCAATGCCTCTAAAGTCTGTATATACAGATTTTAGAGCTACACATGCTCACATCCAGATTATGTCATATATTTCAGTAAAAAATGCTAAACTGCATACTGCATCTAGTACAGCCACATATATTTGGAGAAGAGGAGCCCAGGAGCTGAACTGGTGTGCCTGCAGCCCAGTAGACTATTGATGAACTAGTCATAGACTATCAATTGTTTTAATTAAAAGTCCATTCTAAATCAATATCATAGGAGCCTGACATGCGTTCGGTGTCTCAGTGACTATTTACTCATGTTTGCGTTATACCACAGAAATGCCACTTCTTCCTTATAGCCAACAGACATGCTCTGTACTCCTGAGTTAACTCAGAGATGATCTTTGCATCATCATGTTTTTGTTTTTTAATTTGTTACATGCGCAGTTCACAGACCCTGAACTCATGACCACATTACAAGTCACCCTAGCCCTATGACCTGAGTGAAACGTTAGACTGACTAAGTCACTGGAACTTGCATGACCCAACTTATTCAAGTCAAACATGCCAATGTTATCACAATCTGTCTTTACAACCAAGACAACTCATCAATCAACCTTTTCATGAAAGTGACCTGAATGAAAATGGAACATCCACTTATCCATTTCAGTGTTGCAATTATTTCTGTTTATTTAATCTAAAGATAAATTCACAGACTCACCGATTGGCACAAATGGCTGAGAGGCTGGACTGTGACGAGACATACCAATGCTGTTCACAGCATAGACTCGCATCTCATACGGCACACCTTCTATCATACGCTTGGCTTCATAGGTGGTTTCAGGGTAGGGGTCAAAGTTGAGTCTCATCCACCTGTAGCTCTTCAGCTTCTTTCTCTCCAGCACATACCCTGCAAATTCAAATGTGTGTTGCCATTGGCTTGGTGTCTCCAAGGAAAAATAAAGGAAGATGCAAAAAGAAAATGGCTCATATTATTATGAAATAAAGCCCATTAGAAGTTATTTTTACCAATTATTGGCTGGCCACCGTCCAACAGAGGGGGTTCCCATTGAACGACACAGGAATCTTCACCCACACTGAGGATTGTGGGAGCCATGGGAGGATCAGGAACATCTGGAGGAGAAACATTACTCTTCTTTTTGTCAGAAGAAAGTTTGACATTCATAGATAAATTTCATAAATTTACAACTTTGATGGCTGTTGGTGTGTGTTAATTGGTATTGCTGGGGCTTTGGTAGGGAGAATAATGATAAAAGATGTCTTACCGACAACTTTCACGTGGATATCTGCTGTATCTTCCCCAGCAGGGTTTCGAACCACAACAGAGTAGATTCCCTCATCCTGCCTTTCAGCACACTCAATAGTGAAGACGCAGTGGCCCTTGGTGGTTTCCACATGGACCCTACCATCTCCCTCTGTGACGACCTACATGAGGACAACCATGAAAGTTACTCGATTATATTGAGCAAAGTTTTTTTTGGGAATTTGTGCTGCACTTTCTTAAAAATGATTGTTGTAGCCGGATCAACTATGACTTTTAAGACGAATACAAATAACAATATTTGCTGATTTAAAAAAAAAAATCCAAGTGTATCAGCTAATATTTTACACTGCCATTTGTGTGGTTAATATTTGTTAAATTTTTTTTTTTTTTACACTTTGCCTCACTCTGCTCACTCTGCTCAATTGCAGAGTGCCCTGTGGTGGACAAACCATGCAAATTCAACTCTCATAACGTATTTGAAGGGTGTTTCTCCCCTTTCTTCTTGACTTTGTTGAAGTCATTTATCAGCTTTTATAAATGCAGACACTGAATGCTTTCATTATTATTTCCATGAATATACAATTTAGCATGTCAATTTGCTGCTTTACAACTTGAAGATCTAATTTGAAATCTAATTTCATGAGCTAATTAATTCCTCTTATTTTTTTTTAAAATAGAAAGTAAAAAACCTTCAGATTAAGTCTCAGAGTAGGTGAACTTTAAAATGCTAATATAACATACTGGTCTGACTGATAGTATTAACCATTTGAATTTTTTTCTTGACCAATACCGGATTGAGGTGATGCTGCTCTTGCTTCCTTTATGACAAACTTAATATTATACCTTGACAATATTTCTCAATTACTATATTTAGTGTTGGAATCTAGTATTTAGTTGCATATTTTATCTCCAGTTGTGTAGCAGTTAACACATTTGCTTGCCAAACAAAAGATTGCTAGCTCATTTTCAACTAGATACAAATATCCCCATTGGAGTCACATCAGGCAAAAAACTCTGCCAAATCAGACGTGTGGAACTACCTGTTGTCGTGACCCCTTGTGGCAAGAGAGCTTCCAAATGTCGTTTTCATGCTCATATGGTTTATACCTTTTCCATACTGTACACATTGTACTTGCTGCTCAGCCTCCTGTGCCCTCTGTCTGTCTTAGGGAAGAGTCATAACATGCTCTTACCTTAGTGACATGGATGAACTCTGCATGCAGTTTTATCCTGTTCTTAGTGTTTAAAACTGACACAGAGGAAGGAAAAAACCATGGTATTCACTGGAGAAAGTGTTTTTAAGAAAATCCATGTATTAGTTTACAACTGTTACTTCTGCTCTTTGAGGTTTTCTTGTTAAAGTCTTTTCAAAGCTCAAGCTGTAAGACAGCAGGTTTACAGCACATTTCTACAATACATTTGCAAATCTAAATGCATGACATGTGACGTTACTGTTTATGTGTCACAAAAGCTTGTAAAGGTCAGCAAGTGCACATGCGTAGAAACTGAGGCATGCGCTGGCAGTGCTGGCGTGAGTGAAAAAAAAAACAAACAAAAAATAAGCATATAATGAAAAGTACACTTACTTCCCCATCCTTCGTGGTCCAAGAGGTTGTATGCCCTCCTTTGTCATCTCCACCGGGTTTTACAGAACTAGCCTACATTTGAGCAGAGCAAAGCCTTAAAAGCCAAAGAGGACAGAGAGGGTCCCCTCAAATCAAAGACTTGCAAACTACAGCTAGCATCACTGTTGGAAGCCATTAGCAGCACTGTGCTTACTCAGCTCGATGAAAGCATCAAAGTTTACAAGCCAAAGCAGGGAGGAATGGAATATGGAATATGGAAGAACTAGCCTGTTCCACTTTAGATTATCAAAAGCAATTTGATGAAAATATACCTCCTTGGCTTGTTTAATATTGGAAGCATGTAACATATTGTTGCATTCATTTTTAAAATGCAGTATTAGTATGTCTTTCAAATATAAAATAATCAGCTACAAATATAAACTAATCAGCTACAACACTGAAACTGCAGACAGGTAAAATGAACAACATTCATGTTCTCATTGCACTGCAGTTACATTATTTAAGGACATGCACCCCCATGATGATAGCACTCCCCGATGGCAGCCAGCCACCTCACCCAGCAAAACCAAACAAAAAGATCTTTTTTCCTGGCTTCTGAGATCCCTGTATCTCAATCAAATTGAGCTTGTAGGCTCCGCTATCCAACCTCGGAGGTCTCACCTGGGTCAGAACAGTTTTGGTGGCACAACAGTGACCTGTACGCTGTCACGTAGGTGATTTAATGTTGTGATTGATCAGTGTGTCTTTGGTAATGAATGAAGTGGGGGGGTTTTTTCCGGATTTCAAATCTTACCTATATAACTCTGGACTGGTGGCACATGTCTTAATTAATGATTAATAGCACAAGCCTTCCATTTGTCTTACCTTTTCTCCTTTGGTCCAGATCACTGTTGGAGCTGGGTCTCCAGTGATGGGGACGTCCAGACGTAGTTTGTTGCCAGCCACCACCACAATGGTTGACTCGGCGGTGCGACCCATACAGTCTAAGTGGATCTTAGGAGGATCTGTGAATGTAATGTAAATGGTTAAAATGGAAAAATATTTTGTATTATGACTGGTACAATCTGCGTAAGTTGGTGGCTGTGTACCTTGGCGTGGCACATAATCAATCTTCACCTCTTGGAAATCAAGAAAAAAACAATTAAATAAGTTATTTAAGTAAAATTTGAACATGTGAGTCTCTAAAGAGACTCTAATTTTAAAGTGTAAGAATATAAAAGCACACATTTTACCCAAGAAATTTAGTTTAGCAGAGAGGTTGAAAGCATAGCCATCTGGCACAAATGTGTAGTCCCCCTCATCCTCCGGTTTGACGTCATCAATGGTCAGTTTGTGGATCCTACGGGGTCAAAAACTTTAGCTTGTGGCGTCATGGAGTGCAGGCAGCATACCGAACACGCATTACCACGTGCAAACATGTCCTCACCTGCCAATATGCGCGATGTTCACTCTGGCATCAGGCTTGACTTCGACGCCATTCTTGTACCAGGTTCCCCTCACGTTCTCATCTGACACCTCGCACTTGAAAACCGCCTGATCTTTTGCCTTCACTGTGAGGTCTGCGATGCTCTGGTAGACTTCCAGCTCTTTCTCTACATGTTCAGAAAACACAGGCTCAGAGTGCAGATAACAGCAGGCCTTCTGCTTTATGAGACGCCAGGTTTAGTTGATAGCTTGTGAGGATAATATGATTAAAAAAAATAAAAGCTCCAGCGACTGTACGCGTGGATAATGTGATAATGATTTTGAGCATGAGGGTCTCCTCTGTGTGTTGTATCTTAGCTACAGACACAAGAGGAATAGTTAATTAGATTTATAGTAGAAAATAAAGTGGCAAGATATGAGGATATGAGGACCATATGCAGGAGCTTCGGGTTATTACTGTATATCAGATGAAATAATGTACAAGAGGGTTATTAAAGTTGTCCCAGGGAAATTGTTATCTGGGTGAGATATCTCACACCGCGCTCCTTTTAAAGGTTACAACAGTTTCACGTCAGCTCACTGCTAGGTAGGGCATATATGATGGGAATGTCCAATGGCATTATAATGGGAGCTCTACTGTGGACTGAGGTGTTGATCCCTGCAACACGATAGCAGCTGGTAATTCTTGGCAGGCTCGCCGTTCAATTAAAAGGCCAACAAAGAGGCAAAGATCAGGTTTATATCTACACACACCTCTGAAACACACACACACACACAAACAACATATGCAAAGGAGAGATCATGCATATTCAATATAAAGCGAAGAAATTTTAAACAGATGTTGATGACCATTGTGTGATAATCTTTTCTTTTAGAGGGATTTTGATGAATGTTTTGTTCTGTCAGATAATGGTGCTAAAATGGTTACAGGGAAAACTAACTAGATTTTTCTTAATGAATTTTGCCTACGTCCATGTATGGATGAGTTTGAACAGTCTCCATCCATTATTTCTAGATCACCTGTGGAATTAAAAATAAAACATCTAATCACCTTCAAAGAGACACTTGTCTTAAATATACCAAAGACCATCATGTTATTGAAAAAAAAAAGTTCCAAATCTAACTAATTTCTCAAAAGGAGACTTACAAAATTCAGTTGTGCCCAGCGGGGATCCTACATCTGCATCACCGAGCTGCTGTGACTTGGTACTAGAGGAAAATCTACCATCTAATAATAAAACATACTTTCAAACCACAAAGTACTCTTTGCCCTTTAGGTGAAATATATGTCTTCTAACTTTAGCTTACATGTGCTCTTACATCTGTGGAGCAACCTTGGGACAATGATAGGTGCTATATCCTAAAGATAGACCACAGACCAAGAGTGGCAAGGCCACGGAGCTATTGGCAAGGTATGGGAATGCGTCCTTGCAGAATTCATCACTGACAAAAATGGTTCATATGGTTTGTACGGCGTAACTGACACTCACCCTGCACCAGGACTTCTGCCACAGATTCGCCACCGTTTGTTTTAACCTTGTAGTGGCCACAGTCTTCTTTGGTGGCCTCGTTAATGATCAGCACATGCTTGCAGCCGTCTTTCTTGAAGCGATACTTGAAAGATTCGTCTCTTGTCAGCTCCACACCATCTTTCTCCCTGAACAGAAATTAAAACCACAATTAAAATTAATATGATCAACAAACATGGTGAAACGTTTCAGATAAAAAGAGCTAGTTACACTGCTCAACCATTTTTCAGAGGTTGCCTACTTTTGAGGTAAAATGCACTACGTCTTGTGGATGTTGATGTCACTGAATCCTAGTATGACAATTAAAACAGCTAATTGGCTAGACGTTAGATTTTTGTTACATTTTGCATCATATTATGTACAGTACATAATATGTTGCTAGGAAAATGGTAAATAGATGGTGAAACATGTTACTAAACCATGTGCCAACATATGTGGAAATGTAGCATAAGGCAAAATCACAGTAAGTAAGTTGGCACTGCACACTAAATCAAAATCTGAGGATACTTTTCTGTATTTAATCAGTATTTAATTCATCAATCTTTCTCCATTTTGACAAGATCCCCAACACCATTGGCTGAAATGCAGTCCCAAAACCATGACAGAGCCTCCACCGTGCTTTACAGATGGCTGCAGATACTCACTGTTGAAGCTCTCTCCTGACCTCCTCCATATGCACTGATGATTATTTGTACCCACAAATTTTAATATGGATTCATCACTTCATCAGACCTTACTTTCTGTCCAACTGAGGTAAACTCGCTAATCTCAGGCTTCTTTTTATCCTGTTTCACTTCCTCAAGAATGACTTCTTGTCAGCCAAACTTCCACCGAGACCATTTGTGATGAGGATTTGATGAACACTAGACTGATCAACTGAAGGGCCAGTGTCAGGGCTTAGCTGACATTTCCCCTGTATCTTAAGGACACGACTGTCAGATATTGTTAATCTACTGCAGACATTTTTTAAGCCAGGTTCTTTCTTTTTTTGTCCTCCACTTGCCCAAATTCCTCAGATTTTTTAAGAACACACTGCATACCACGCACCACAAACTACTTATTTTTGCAACAGGCTGCTAGTAACAAAAAGCTTAAAGAGTTACAGTTAAAATTACTTCTTTGCTTAGTTGCCTGCTATGTTTAGACACATGACTGAGTCATCCCTTGAGATAAAAGAGCTTGAATGATTAATATTTCAATGTTAGGTGGTTTAGCACTGACCTGTGGGATGTTTTGACATTTAGAAATTTCATCTGTTTCATCACTTAAAAATATTATGACACACGCGTTGGTTTCATCACTTAGCAACATGTCTGATTATGGTTCAGTGCATTTCATTGGTGAGTTTTTGTGTACTTTTCATAGTATGCGGTGGAACAAAATTTAAAATATTATTCTGGGTGTTACACTTTAAACAACATGTAACTTTAGATTGCAACATTACAGATTTCCTGCTTTCAGAATCCAAGGTCAGAGTACAGGTCAATAGGTGAAATAAAGACAATATCTTAAGTTAGAACGTTTACATTGCATTTCAGAATTGATCCAATTTGAATTCACATGAGCCCAACTTCAACAAATGGGATACATTGTTTAGTTAGATGGACCATGTACAAATTAATACACATGCCAGTTTGGGCCATTTTTGCAAAAGAATTCAGGTTTGACTATTTGTTTGAAGCATTTTGGCTGCAGTCCTGTGTTATACACTTATTTTATCGCTTTAGCAAAAGTTGGAACTTTCAGATGATTCTCACTTTGTTACATCCACCTGTTTCTTTTTGGGTTTTTTTGCATTTTAGTTACACAATCACACATTTCCTTAGCTCAATTTACTGGCAGGTTTAGGTCTACTTGCGTCACTCCATTAAATACACAAGGTGACCTTTCAGATTAACAGGTAATTCAGGAATACATAGAACCACAGAGAACTGTAATACAGAGGTGGTATATCTGATACATTTAATCTTTGTACTTTGTTTCAACAAACCTACACTGGCCAGACAATAATAGCTTGTATACATTTGTAGCAGCAACTTTCTTCTTCGGGTAAAGGTCATGAGGGACATACTGAATGGCTCATGCAACCTTTTCATTGAGATGATAATTCACAGCTTGTAGCAACACTTCACAGTCTCTGAGGCCTGGTATCTATCTGCAGACATGACATCCTCAGATGCCATCTGTGGGGTGTCTGAGCAACTGTTAAGGATCCAGCAAATTAAAAGAGAGCCTAAATTTAACCCGATTAAATATAATTTAATGGTAGATGGCATTTTGAATACTTTTTTATTCAGTCATGATTCATTTATTTTATTTAATAATGATTATTCACTTTTTTATAAATTGGGACATGGATGATCAGTTACTGGCTGCTTAGCCATGAGTGTAAAGAAAAACATCTAACCATTTAACATTTGCTCCTTCCTCTGAGACTTCACACTCTAACTCCACCCGCTCACCCTTCATGACCATCTGATCCTCCAGATTTTTCACTACCAGGACAGGAGGCTCTGCACAAAACAGATAAGAACATGTGATTTAGCTGAACATCTCTGTTTTTGCATACCTGTGCTGGAACGGGTATGTTGTGAATGTTCTCAAAACATAAAATACCTTTAACAAAGAGCTCAGTGGTGCACTTCTCATCTCCCACTTTACAGGAATACGCTGCATCATCTGCCAGGGAGCAGTGGTTGATGGTGAGGTACCGCATGTTGCCAACACTCTCAAATATGTACCTTGACAGGGAGGAAGATTATCATACAATGAAAACACTGTTTTTATTTGTTTTTTAAAACCACAATATAGCGTGTGAGAAGGAAAGGAAATGTTTTGTATTACTTATGACACTTACTTGCTATCGATTTAACCAAATGACGCAATAAAGGCACAAATTAGGGAAGTTGGTCATGGAGAGGCAAAAGAGAGAAATGAAAAACAATCAGTAATATAGTTAAGTATGTTCTTCCTAAAGTTTTGCAACAGAATATAATAAAAAGCCACCCTGAGCATCTTCTAAAATGATTTAAATAGAATTTCAGATGAACAACAACACATTAAAAAGAACTGCAAAATGCAGAAGCAGTGTGTGAAAACTAAGCACAGCCCATGATTCAATAGCTTGTGGAAAGACCATTAGTTGCAATAATGTGAAGTAATCATTTTCGGTATGACTTTATCAGGCTTTCACATTGGTGTGGAGGAATTTTGACCCACTTTTTTGCAACATTAATACAGGTAATTGAGGCTTGTGGGCATTTATTTATGCCCATGAGGTCTGGACTTTGACTGGATTATTGCAACACCTTGATTCTTTTGCTGATCATTGTCCTTTTGCATGGCCCAGTTTTGGCAATTTTGACATATTTGACTCCAGAACACTTTGGTACACAGAGGAGTTTATGGTCGATTCAGTGACTGCAATTCCTGCGGCTGCAAAACAACCCGAAATCATCACCCCCTCCACCACATGGCCAAACATCTTCACTTTGGTCTCGTCTGTCCAGAGGACATTGTTGCAGAAGTCTCGTGGTTTGTTGAGATGCAACTATGCAACCTAATCCATGCTGCCAAGATCTTTTTAGAAAGAAGAGACTTTCTCCTGGCAACCCTTCCAAGCAAGCCAGCCTTGTTCAGTCTTTTTCTGATTGTACTGTAACAAACTTTAGCATTTAACATGTAAGAGTCTGAGTTGTAGTTGTTGGGTTTTTCCAAATTTTCTGCCATGGGGTGAATTTGATGGGACGTCCACTCGTGGGAAAATCAGCAGCTGTTTTAAATGTTTTACAACTGAATATATGCTTCCCCAATGCAGAATGACAGACTTTAATGTGTTTGAAGTGAAGATTGATGTGCAACAATGATAGCTTCTCTAAGATCACTGATGTTTTCTTTCCTGCTTCTCATTGTGTTAAAATATATCTGAATGCTCCAGATCTAGAAACTGCCAAAACATCTGCTTTTATAAAGCCGCTCACATTTACCGATGATCAATCAAATTCCTGTGGAAGTGTTACTTAGTTTTTCCACACACTCCTCTTCCATCACACCTTAATCTTTGTTACATAAATACTGACACAGTGTAATATATAATATGTGCTGTTGTTCATCTGACTTTAATTGTATTTAACTAATTTTAAGACCTGCTAAAAACCAGATTATTTTTTTGCAGAGTCATTTAAAACTTTAGAAATAAAACAGCGTTCACTTTCTCATTCAGAAGGCTGCATGCATTTTAAGTATCCCTCAGCTCACCCCGCAAACTGAGGCATGAGTTAAGACAAAATACTTGCATCTATAAAAATAAAACTTAGCAAAGGTGCACAGGTAGGGTGTATTCAGACCTTCCAGTTGGTTGAATTTCTTGCCCGTTTTTCAGCCACTTCACCTCAATATCTGAATTGGCAACCTCAACAGCCAGTTTTATTTTGTGGCCCTTTGACACTTGGTAGGCAGGATCCAGCTTTTTGAGGAAAGCTGTGTTTCAGAGCATAAATAAAATAAAATAATCAGTCTCTGTTAGGTTTTCATTTAAATTGTGTTAGTTTTGCTACTATCTCAGCGCACCAACCTTCACTTTTCTTTTCATCTTTCTTCATCTTCTTCAGCCTCTTGAGCATGCCCCTCAGGTCGGTGATTCCGTACTGAAAAGCAATCTTTTCATATTCAGTAGGAGGAGCCTGGCTGAGGATGTTCCACACATCCACATCGGTCTCTGTGTGCACCTGCACGGTTCTAACACACAAAGACAGAGATGTTAAAACCACTTGAGTGACACAAATGAGTGAAAAGAAGCAGGCTGTTAAAACAGGGACAGTCACTGTAACACACTGGCAAAACTGACACAGTCAGATTCATTGATATCGCATGCATCAGTTCATTATTCGATACTGAAAAACTAACAAGCAACCGCTCAAGAGTCATTTTAGTAGATTGTTTACAAACTTGTAGCTAACGATTAGCTTAAACAGATCGATATCGATTGTGTTTTGTAATCTCCTGTTGTGTCATTATGGGCTTGATCTCATTTTGTAGTTATTGTAAAGCTAATTTCAAGAATTTAGGAGTATTACAAACTACATGAACTAAATTACTGAGCCACCTGAGAAAGGCTTTCTATGAAGCTCCCCATGCACATTTTTTGTGCTGCTGTTAATGGACAGTTTCTCATATAGCACTTTTTTGTCCTACTTAGGCATTCAAAGTGCATTGTACAACATGTCTCATTTACAGACACATTTAAACGAGCATTTTTTCCCCTCGCCTAAATGCTTTCTCTCTCATGGTCATTCTTCAACTCAGGGTTCAATATCAAGCTTGAGCAGCCAGGGATTTTATGACTAACCTTCCGGTTAGTCGATGACTTGCTCTACCTCCTGAACCACAGCCCTGTACCCTGCTTCATAACAATGTATTATCTTCGCTACTAAATTACATTTGGTAGTGAAGACAACAAAAAACTTGATGATTGAAAAAAAGGTTAAAGTGGTGGTGAAGGCATGGCAAGAGTTTGACTTACTTGTAGTACTATATTTCCATATATACCTACTTTGTATTTCTTCTTCTTCTTTTTTTACTTTTTTAAATTTTATGTGAACTTATTTATTTATTTGGTTATGTTTAGGCACCTAAACTACTTGCCTAACCCCATTAAATAAAGAACTGGCTGCCAGAAAAGAGGCAGAAATAATATAGATAAAAAAAATAGAGAAAACAGCTTTCCCTTGCACTATAATTGAGGCCTGAAATTCATTACTTTCATACAGTCCAGTTGCGCTGTTCACCTTCCATATGAGAGTGTCACTGTTAATAAAAGTTATAGATGTGAAAAACTATGAGATGCTTAAATTTCCCTAGCAAATATGATCCCCATTAAACATTAATATCAACATATTTGTATCAAAATAAGATAAAATGTGCATTTTCTTTTTCTTTAGAGCAGTTTCACTACAAATGAGAATGTCTCCTTTTCATACCTTGGATTAACTAAGCTGTGCACACTGCTTGTGTACCTCTGTGTACCTGTCATCTGTTTCCTTGTTGCTTACTTGCTGCTGATGTCTTGTTTGGTGTGAGACTGCCTCCTGAGTAAAGTTTTGTTTAACTCCGTCTGCCTGCTCTGTGCATCATGTAATGGGGAATTATTATGCATTTGTTTTACATACTGTCAAAATGACTGACTCTTGCTTATGCTTCTGTAATAGACTAGCAGCACTTAATCAGCTAAGAATGATCGTGATTTCAGCGTTACTATTAATTATTGCAGTCAAATGTTTGCTGTCATGGGGGAAAAAAAACACGTAACACAGAACAATAAGAAGTTTCCCAGTGACATTCAGACAACGTGTCAGCAGTTTCTTACCGATTTGAGGGTTTTAAGAAACTGCTGCTCATTCAGAGGAAGAGCCCAAGAGGCAAATATGGCAAAACAAACCAGAAAAGTTAAAACACAGCATTTCAAAAGCAATGCAATCAGCAAATTAGAAATATGCTTTTAAAGCACATTAAATATCATTACAATGGTTAAAATGCACTGAAGCAATCGTGCACACGCTAAACCTGAGTCACAACGTCAGTCAAAAATGACTCATATGCTAACAAAGCATGCATTGTTTGGATTTTAACACAGGGTTTGCTTATAGTGAGGCATATATGCGGGTTTTAGGGATGTGACATGTGTTAACCCCGAAGACTTTCAAAGAAAAATGTAGGTGCACGGAGGTGGAAGTATTGTCAGACTTATTATAGACTGAGTGAAATGATCTTCGGGGCTGTGACAGTGGTGAGCAGGGGATTTATTTAAAGTGTCAGGAAAAACAATGGGATCTGACAAAGTGACTCAGGATGTTATGTGATGGAAAATCATGTGTATACGTTTAAAAAATGGTAACACTTTTTTCTATTCTGCGTGACAGACAAATGTATAAGCTCGGAGATAATGAACACATCATGCCACCTTAAATTATCACTGTGCATTGTTAATTTGTGTTCAGGCTTATTTGGTTGCAGATCCGTGATCATTCCGACTTTTAGTTTGCAAATGCAGAAGTAGCTTACTCTCTGAAGATGCAAGGAGATCCAGAAGGAATGAAAGCGTGAGAGTTTTAGATTATAAAGGGCAACCCCCCCAAAAAAACAACAACAAAAGCTGAAAGACTATAAATAATTAGAATTTTTTTGTTTATTAGTTTGTAATTGCTTACCTCTTTTTTAATAGAGTACTGAAGTCCAGCTCTCCTGAGTCATCATTTCCGTCTGTGCTACTGCAGGAATCAGAAAATATCAACAACCCAGTAGGTTACCTTTTTCTCATTTCTTCAATAAGTAAATGTTATTACTAAACAGAAATAGTCTATTTTAAATAAAACAAATCCACATTCCCAGACTTGGTAAATCATTTCCTGTTTACTCCAATATGCAAGGGAGAGACTTGCATATCAAAATGTTGGAAGAAAAAAAACTGGATTGGACACGCCGAAACTAAAAGAAAACAAATGGAAAGATGTGAAGTGCAGGCAGATGTTTTTGTCTGGAAAGACAGATGTTGCCATGTTTAAGGAAGCAGCTTTCATTTTGGGAAATACACATTTATTTATGCTGGTGTAGTCAGGGGGGTCGGGGTCTGTTTGGTCCAGTTATTGTAGGTGGAAACTTATCCACAAAGCTCCACAAATACTGCATACCGGCTTCATGAGTCCAGCCGGACTCGAAGCAGACTTGGAAAAGTTTAACAGGAATAACTGCTCAACTGTGGTGCCCACAGCTGCCAGTGTGCATCTGAATGTGACTATAATCCCTGCTGAAACTCAAATAGTTTACTACATGGAAGTTTACTAAGAAATTTCACAAGATGGTGTTCTTGTTTTTGCGGAATGGCTGTATCTGTCTTATACCAGCATCTTTTAACAAAGAGCAAAACAGCAAAGCCAGTCATGCCTAAGGCATCGAGGCAAGCCGTTTACATCTCCTTCCATTCTTGTTACATTAGGATAACTTTACTTCATTTCTGGAAACAAAGTCAAAAAGTTGTATTTCCCAAAACTATAGAACTGTTCTTCAAGCCATGAGCAGCAGCATTCATTCACGCAAGAACAAAGCAAAACACTGAAGGTTAAAGCAAACACAAGTCACCGTACGGTATAGGCTCTATTTGCTGCTCATGAGTGGGATAACAGATAAAAACAAGGGCACAGTAGACGTGACTGTGTATTTGTCTCCTGCCTGTGACCCGGCAGCAGGATTAGAAGGTGAGTCTCTGGTTTATGCGGTGGAGTTACAACACACCATAGCTGCACTTCCTCTGTGTGGCAACCCCTTATGGAAGAGCTCGGCTACTGAAAAGCCTGTGTCTTAGCACATCCTGCACTTTCAGTATGATCAAACCACCGTCCAATTTCACTCTGCCATGTAGCTGTTTGTGCAGCTGGCTTTGGTGTTTTGATGAAGACCCAGGAGGAGATCAGAGGGAGCTGACAGATGCAACTAGCGGCATGTCACTTAACAGTTTAATAGCTCAAATCTCCACATATGGAGAGCCGAAGATTAACACAATCGCAGCTATAATTAGCAGTTACATTCTGGATTTTGAATTTGAGTCCCACACTTAGCTCTCTCTCAAGGTCTTCCTTCTGTTGTCGTTCTCAAAAATCTGCAAAAGGGAGGCCGTATCATTCACAACACTGGGTTTGTTTGGCAGAGAAAAGGCAGGCTGCAGAAGAGAGAGGAGTCTCTGATCTGCATCCTGATTTCTCTGTTCTTTAACAAAGTCCTCAGAGTTTGAATATAGGCCTCAATTGCTGCAACAAACACCTTTACTACCTTGCTCCTGGTCCACTTCTCTTCTTACCGCCTTCACTCCTGACAGGTTAGCATTTCCACAGTTATTTTTCACAGACAGCCATAATCCACTGCAGTTTATTAGCAACTGTACTTGTGCATTGACTTTATAATCTACTGAGTCCTCGCTATCATACACAAAGCTGACAGCAAAGTGATGGCAGCAGTTTTGTTCCCCATTGACTCTGATTTAAAGCATGTGCAAAAATATATCTGCCTATGGGTACTTAAGTGGTTTTCAGTGTTTCTGTTATCTACCGAAAACATGCAGAAGTAATTACTCCAGCTCATCTAAAGAAATAATTCAGTCCTTCCTTCACACTTTAAATAGCCATCTTTAGACTGTTTAGAAATATTCTGTATTTTTCTACAGAGGGCAAAAACTGGCTTGTTCATATGAAACAAATCCAAAACAAAATGGTTTTCTGATTATAAAATGAGATTACAGAAAACAGATCACAAAAAATGTATCAAAATGTACCCTTCACATATGACAATATTTCACTTTTATTAAAATATAGTCAGCCTGGTAATACAAAATTGAAGAAAAAGTGTGATTGATTAATGGATTATAAATAGTTTTATAAAGGGAATGTGAATTTTATAGCTGTGACATTAAAGAAATGGGATGAGGAAGTTAAACTCTCAATGAACAACTCATATAAACAATTTACTTTTTAAAATCTTTTTAAAAATGTCACATCACTTTTTTTATTCTTGGAATGACATATATTATTATTTTATTTTATTTTTTTAAATAAAACTTACGTGCGTCTGAAAGCTGCTCTTATATCCAGGCCCTCTGGAGCACGAGCCTCTGAAAGAAAGTGTCCAATACCATAAATCACTGTGGTGCATGTATACATATATATATATATATATATATATATGTATGTATGTTTGTGTGTGTGTGTGTGTGTATGTATTATAAAAAGAGGGTCACATTAATAAAATAAGGACACTCACCATGAACAGTGAGGTCAAAGTTGCAGCTGTCAAACTTATCCTTGGATGAAACCTCACATCTATAACCTCCAGCAAAGTTAGCCTTGGCAGCAATGATGTGCATCTCAAATGTGTAGACCTGCAATCACATGTGTGCAAAGAGATGTGAGATTTAATGTGTTTGGAGATATAATGTGTTTTGCTGTGTGTATGTGGGATGCTTTTAGGTCTGCTGATTTTCCCTGCCTCCTTTCCTTTGAAATCTCTAAGTTTCCCTGAAGTTCTGGGTTTCCGAACAGGTTAGATGTGTCACTGCTGTGTCATTACCTCGAAGATAGCGTGCCTGTGGTTTGTCGTGCTTTCAGGATAAATGCCTGAGGCAAGATGTTGCCCAACTGAGAGTGAGAAGGGCAGGACTTGCAAAACATGTCGGTTGCTTCAGCGTGAAATGCTACATATTCCAGCCTTAAGGTCATTTTAGTGACAAACAACATGAGCCCTTGCGTTTGTGTGTTCCTTGAACGGAAGCATAGCTTTTAACATATGTTATTCCAAATTTCTTCTAGTGTTGCTTGTTGTGATGTCTTTTTAGCATTAGCCCACCTTGGTGTTGCGGTCATATGTCTCCTTCAGTTGCAGGTGTTTTCCAGACTTGCTGGCAAGGTCCATCCACTTCCCTTTGAACCATTTGACCGTGGGTTTCTTCAGCAGCGACTCAGCGTTCACTTTAGCCACAAAAGTGATGTTTTCACCTGTGTGAAAACAAGGCTTAGATTTGATTCTCATATCTGATGGCATCTTTGCCTTTTCTACAAATGATCATCTTACTGAGCGCACATTATACACATTACATTCATTGTGCGATATAGCTTCTTTTTGTTTTTTATTAAAAGGATACAATATTCTACTTTTTAAGTATTTTCATTACAAGTATCTTTGCTTTTGTGTGTCCACCCTTCCTATACATAGCTGGTTAATTCTGTGGGATTAGATTAAGGATTAAATGTATTTAATTTTATATCCTGTATTTTGAAGCCACTCACCTACAGTGACTTCTCCACTCTGAGGTTTCTCTGTGAAGAGTCCAGTCAGGTCCTGTCTGGTGTCTGGAGGATGTGCATCTGAAAACCGACGGGATTAAAATACAATGCTACAGCATAAACTCCAATTATAAAAATGTTTGGGTTTTTCATTATGTTGAAAATAGCACATTATTAGCTTAGCTCTGAGAGTTAAGGCAAACCTATCATGGTCCTGGGCTGCTGACCCAATCTTTTTTATATTTCGGTCCCTCGTGTTCTGTTTATGGTCCTCGGGGTCATTCCTAAATTGTTTATTATTGTTTTGTTTTTCAGCTTTGTGCATGTTATTTCGTGTTCACGCTTGGGTTTTTAGTTTCAGTTACTGTTGTGGTCACTATATTGTTCCTCATGTCAGGTTGTCAAGTCTCTGTGTGTGGCTGTTGTTGTGCCTGTGTTACTTCCTGTTTTATTGTGGTAGTCTCTCATCTCTTGTCTTGTCCAGTTCAGCTGTATGTCCTCTTTGCCCCAATCATCCCTCTGCATCTGTCTTGTCTTAGTCGCCTTTTGCCCTTTGTTGAGTAAACTTGCTCACTGTCTTTGAGGTTCATTCTAATGTTTTCTGGCAACTTTTCACTGGCAAATGTTTGGATTTGCTGATTGTTTGAGGTTATTTCCTGTGTCCTGTATTTGCCTCCTTAATGCACTTGTCACATAGAGGCACATGACATAAACCATTCAACTTTCTGCTGTTGTTGTTAAATAGAATATGACAATTTTTGATCTGACATTACTCTACTACAGTAAAAATAAATGTGAAATCCTCTTTAAAAGAAGGTCATTAAAAAGTCTGAGGGGTCCTGTATTTATCCACCCTGCTACATGGAATTACAGGATCTTGGAGACCTTTTCTTTAAACATAGCATGTGCAAAACTTAAAATAGCATCCAGGCAATGCCTTTTCTTACAAATGGCAGCTGTTTTCAAAGTCTTTGTGGAGTACACATGTACAGTTATGGGATATTTGGGGGCATTTTTGAGCATTCGGGGAATGATTTTCACAGCATATTTTATAAAAATGGACAGCTGGTAAGCGAACAAAGGAATCACTGAGTGATAAAAGTGAACTTACCCTCAGCTTGTGCTGGGGCAGGAGTTTCTTCTTGTACTGGGGCTACTGCAGGCTGAGAAGGGGCTTGTTCTGGTTTTCCATCAGCAGGGGCCTCAGCTGAAGATAGCAAGAAACATTTGAGAGGCACAGAGAAACGACAATCATACGTTTAGTCCATTCACTGTTCCCCTCTCAACAAAGAATCAGCTCCAAACAGTGAGTTTTTAGTCTTTGAAACAACATAAATAATATGAGAGGTGAAAACATTTTTGTGTTTTGTCAACAAAAACTCTCTGGCCAACATTCATCCAGTCGCTTCCGCTTATCATTTTCAGGGTCGTGGGGGCGCTGGAGCCTATCCCAGCTGTCATAGGGCGAGAGGCGGGGTACACCCTGGACAGGTCGCTAGTCTGTCGCAGGGCTAACACACTGGGACAGACAACTATTCGCACTCACATTCACTCCTGCATTCACACCTATGGGCAATTTAGATTTTTCAATTAACCTATCTCCACAAAGGTATCTGGCCAACATTCATCAACAAAATATTTTTATCTTATCATTTTTTAAAGGCCCGCTGACTTTCCATGTGTTATCAGCTGCCTCTCATGCCTTTCCTCAGTGCCAGTCAAGTGGTGGTTACTCATGAGGAAATAATGCGTTGGTGTGGGTCAAGGTCGTCATGCAAACAGAGTAAAGGTGGCTATGATATGAGCCCCAGACAGCTGTGGCCAGTCCCTTATAGCACACTGGGCACTTTGGCTGCTGTCTTTCTTTGACATTTGTTTACATCTTACTAAAGCCAAAGGGTCACACTGATAAACGAACACAAATGCAATAGCACAAATGTTGCTCCGTGACACACTTGGCAATCATCTCAATGTACATTAGAGTGCTGTGCAGGTGCAATAAAATACAGGACAAAAGGAGTGAAGTTAAACGAGTGAGTAGGTGTGTTCACGGCCTCAAATGAAGAGCTGGACTTTTTGGGAAATAAACTTGCTGTTGTAATATCATTTGTATTTAGAGACAACAGTCCCCAGGACACAGGCATGCAACTAACTGAAGGAAGCTGTGTAATTTCTAGTCACGTTACAACGAGTCATCCGACCACTGGCTTGGATGACTTCTCTCTCTCTCTCCACCATCTGTTATGTACAATTTAAGTCTTACTGAAACAACATGAAGGCCTGTTTCCAGTTATAGCGACAAAGCCAAATGTCACAGACCCTTACGCCAGCTGACTAGTGTTCAAGTCCCTTCTGGGACAATTATTTTTGATTTAGTGGACCACGTAGGTTCTCATGTAGTTTCAGTAGGATCTTTTGATGTGTTAAAAAATCACAATGTCATGTTTGGGGAAAACACAGTGTGACGACACTCAAGCTTTTAAAGTCCCTTAATACAGAGCTTTCCGTTCAGGGAACCAGGCTTGAATGTCATAGATTTGTTCTAATGAGCCAACAGCTGATCACCTTGTGACTCCAGCAGGGACGGGGGCAGCAGGGTTACTGAAATCCAACAGAACACAAAACAAGGTTTTAAGTTGATTACTCTAGCCCCATAAGAATGCCTCTCCTAAGTTTGTATGCACAACTACAAAACACATTTAACCACATAACAATTGGCCACTTCTGAGGGTCTAAACCTTTATAGATGTCTCTTTTTAAAAAAGGTCAAGACAAAGTTCAACACAGTCATTTCTGGTTCCCCAGCAACTTCACAGTGAGCTATAGAGGTGCCCTTTCATGCACAGGTGGTCTGATGTTTTTTTAAAATCTTTGGACCGAGTCAAGGTAGCTGCCCTTAATACAGTATGAGTTATATGCTAAGCCAGCTGTCTGCTGACTATAACCTTGACTCTAGCTGTCAAATACGAGAATTTCATCAATCTTCTAACTTAATTCTCGACAGGAAAAGAAATGATGCATTCCCCAAAATGTCAAACTCATCCTTTTAAAGCAAACATCTCTCAAATGCACAGCATACAGAGCTGTTTCAGAGATCTGGTTTTGAGTAGCTGTCAGAGGGTGCTGTCAGAATGTGCAGAAACATCAAGTGCATGCAGTGTCTCAACTATTTACTGCTTCAGTGGTTTTCTGCATCGAGTGCTCCATTTTGCTTTGTGCACAGTGATGACATTACAGCCCGTAGGTGAGCACACAGAGACCTCAAATGCACAGCAGCAGCATCGCAATCTCCCACCTGGTTGAGACACCACCTTCAATTCAAATTTGACCTTTGAGCCCCCAGCGATCACTGCGTAGACACTGGCGTCTTCTTTGGTAATAACTTTAATAGTGAGTGAGTGCTTGTTCCCGTCGGCTGCAATAATGTATTTGCTGTCGCTGGCAATGTCCTTTGAGTTGCACTGCCATTTTACTTTAGCATCTGGCTTTTCGGTCTCTGCCTCAAAGATCACAGAGGACCCCTCTTCTGCCTCCTGAGTCTTTGGTTTCCTGGCAAATGCTGAAACTGGGGAGGGTGGGTTGGAAATTAAAAGCAAACTTTTGATGTGTCAATTTAACTTTCTTTCTTTAAAGCTCATATGCTGCCAGGCCAGCAGTGAACACAGATACCATCATCTCACCGACAATTCAGTGATTAGAATTTGATCATGCTGTAAAAACACTAAATGACAAATATCTGTGAGATTTGACATTATTTAAACTTTTTTTCATCTGGGTAATTTCTCTCTGCTCAAAAAACAAAGATCATGCCCGAAGAAATTCTGAAGAAAGAACAAGACATATGGGGGCAACAATAAGTATGAATATGTCAGCAAAGCTAGAAGAGTCATGAGCTCAGCATGGCTGCCCAGGGTGAAAAATGTTGTACAGTTCACAGCACACTGGGTGGGGCTAACTGAAAACCAATAAATTTGCCTTTTGCCACTCCACACAGATCCTGTCAGAGCACAAACATCAAGTTAGAAGACAAAAATGAATTCCGGAGCACATTCTGGAACGTGAACAAGCATTAACAGTGCTGTACTGTATGTGTACAAGCTAAACACTTTTAATCTGAAAGACTGAAAAAATTTCTTCAGCAACTCTTAAGTGTTTGTCATCTTTACAAGAAGCCTAAAAACAGGGAGCGTGACTGACACGACTGACTGACATGTTTAATGGTTTAACGGTTATGAATCGCACACTTTGTGCTGGCGTAATGCAGGCGGACAGTCTTCAGCGAGTCCTCACCAAACCACACACAAACCAAAAAAAGAAAAAAAAAAGCCCTCCACATGTTAACAGATGGCCCCGCAAGTATGAGTTTAAATATAGGATGCATATGTACTGGACTAATAAATGAGGCTGGCAGGCTTAAGCTGCAACAGGGGTTGCAGGTATCATAGTTGAGGGATTAGCTGGATGCTATTTTTGTGACTTTAAAGGGAGAGGAAGAATAATGTGCCCTTCTTGTCATGTTGTCAATCATCTGTACTGTTCTAATTTTCATACTGCTGTCTGGCTTTAAGGTCAAATAGACTCCCTTGAGTTTTATTTTTAGAGAATTTTAGTAATTGTAAAGCTGATTAGTGGTCTTTTAAACCTAATTTCACCTTATTTTTGGATATGTTTAGCAAATTATTTCAGCTGAATCTCACGATGACCGGGTTAAATGTTGGCATTTACAGTTTAATCTCTGTTTAATTCAATCACATTAACGAGTGATTAGTGTTAAAGGTTAGGATTGAGCTGAATGCACCTTCTGCAGCCAAATGTGTTCATTTATATATTATTACAGCTTTTCTTAATGTTGTTGCTGTATTTATTCTTGTCTTTAAATGTTTGTCTGAAAACAATCTTACTGACCGCACTGTACTGATAGTAATTGTCAGTAATGTTATGGGCTCAAGACAATTTGTCCTGAACAAATCCTTGACACTAAAGGTCTTAACACACGCACACAAGCTTGGCCATTTGGGCTGCACTCTTTGTCATCGGATATGTGACATGTCAGGCTTCTCGCTCCTCAAGCGGCCATTCATTTCCCACTCAAGAGCGCAAAGAAAACTGTGGAAAGTCATTTGTCAAGTTGGAATCCTGCGGGGCATTTTTGGATCAGTGAATCATTTTGTGAATGCAGTGATGCTGGAAATGTGACAGTGTCGATTTCACATCAGACGATGTTTCCACCTGCGCCGCGAGATGTGTAAGTGAGCTACTGACGTGACCAAAAAGGGCTTCAAGTTCAGAGTGTTTTCTGATGAGAAACAACAACTGCATGCACACGAATGTAGTAGGTTCTGATTTTCCCTTCCTGGCTACATGATGGCTAATAAAGCATTTTAATAAAGGCACTTGTGGCACCTTAATAAGCCATGGAATATATTTAAATTTGAGGGGATGGAAGAAGAATACTGCTACTTTACTTGGTCAACTGCATTACACATCTTTAAGCTGTACAAAGTGAACATATTGAACCACCTTTCATTTAATAACCATGAAAAGGAAGAGCTACATTTTTTCCAAATGTCATTTCTCAGTTACACAGGTTACAGTCATTGCGTGGGAATAAATAAGCTTTATATTTAAAATGATGTTTTAAGTCTGTTTAGAAAACTTTTCATATAAAAACACTATGAACAAAAAACAAAGGCTGTGTCACCGTCTATAACGAAAATGATATGCAGGTATTTGGCAGGCAGTTTGGTTGTGGTTCATTGCTTAAGAGGGGTGTGGCCCATCTCAGCTTTTTCTCACATGTACTTTTTACACATGTCTTGCCATATTGTTGTTCTTCTGACTAGATATTAAGGTAGAACATGGTAATATCACAATAAAGAGTGTATCTAAAAGTTTACAGTTATTAAGAGAACTCATATCTATGGCAAAGATGGATTCATGGATTAGTTTGCTCAAAGCAGGCATGTGACAGAACAGTAGGAACATTAAGTAAGATGAGAAATAAATTGCTCCATCTTTGTTTGCTAAGGTAGTCGAATATGTCCACTTACTTGGTTTTTTGACTGGCTCTGGCATCCTGATCAATCTCCTCTCTTCAAATTGTGTGACTCTTTGCTCCCAAACAGTCTGCTGTCTGTCTCAACACCCCCTGCCTTTAATAGTGCCCTCTTTCCAAAAATGCCTCCCCTCCTTCCATGAACCATCCCACCTCTTGTGCCATTTTTGCTAGTCCTAAGCCAGTGTCCGCAGACACCACTCCACTCCTACAGCCCATTCCAGCAGTGACCCAGCCCCCACTTCCCAGCCCACCGCCTGTCACCGGTCACGTCTGACCAAGGGCTATATTTCAACCATCCTTTCCTCCAGCACCTCGGCTGAACGATAGGCCTTGAGAGGGAGGGGAAGAGATGTAACGCAGTAGTTTATATTTAGCACTTTGATTCCAAAAAAAGTCTGCTCTGCCCACATCTGTTCTGCCTCCTGTTAGCCTGTATGTCTAAGAGTTAAAACTACAAATAGAGAGACAAACTCTAGTTTGTTTTGTTTTTTTTTAATGGATAAGATCTTTAACCGGTCTGTGTCTTGGACACACATGCATGGCAATCTTGTTGTTTTTTGGCAGCAACTGAGCCATGAGGTTGTCGAGCAAATACAAAGTTGCTTGATCCCTTTAGGGGCCACCAAGGTGGATCATCTGCCTCAATTTCACTCTATCTCTAGCATCTTCCTCCTTAACATGTCCTCCTTAACTACACCCATGAATCTTCACTGTGTTCTTCCTCTTTTCAGCTCCATCTTCAACATGCCGTGTTGAACATATTCACTATCCCTCCATCAAAGCCTTGTCTCTTCATCTCTAAACTGCTCACCCTGAACCGTCCCTCTGATGTACTTATTTCTAATCCTGTCTGTTCCCGTCACTCTCAATTAAAATCTTCAGCTCTGCCTCCTTTTTGTTAATGCCACATACATCATACCATCATTCTACCCCTCGAAGCATTGCTGTTACACCTTTCTCCCTGTCCTGCTTCTACAAACATTTATTCCTCTTTTTTCCACAGCATACCTCCACCTGCCCAGGTTCTCTTCCACCTGCACCCTACTCCCACTACAGATCAAAATTTCAATTGCAAACATCATAGTTCAGTAATGTAATTCCACCAACACCTTGAACCCATCTGTCACTCTTACTACACACCTCACTACTCACTCACTATCCTCATGGTGCCCTGCACCACCCTCACATACTTTTCTGCCACCCCTGACTTCCTCATGCAGTACTACAGTTCCTCTCTTGCCACTCGCTTACTCTTTCCTACTGCATGCTTTCTGCAGATTCATTCAGTGATGCCCCGTTTGACCATTTCTATACTTCTTCATCAACACTCTCAAAGTAAACATTACATCTATACTTCTCTTTCTCAGCATTAAGCCATACTGCTGCTCACTGATCATCATCTCTCTTCTTAAACTAACTCTTTCCTACATCTTTATGATATGGCTCTTCAACTTTATCCCTGTGCAGTTACTACAGCTCTGTACATCATCTTGAAAACTGGCATCAGCACACTTCCTCTCTGATCTTCTTCTTCTTTAGTGTTCAGCCTTACATACAACTCACAATTAGCCTTTTCCTTTTCAACTCAGTTTTTGCCGTATCTATACCCTCTCTGTGCTTGTGTCTCAGATTATCTCACTTTTTCTTTGTTAACATCCTCCTTTGAATAGTTTCATGTACCTGTTCTTTTCACCTCCATTCTTATATGTTACCCCGTGCTCCTCCTCTTCTTGAAGCACATTTTCACCAAGCTTTCCAAGCTCCTTAGACTTTTCACCACAGCCTTTTCCATCCTTTCCTTCACGAAATCCACTACTATCTATCGTTCTGCATTTCTCTCTTCAGTATCATACCAACCTAACACTTCCTAATCCTTTCTGTTATCTTCACTTTCATGAACTTTGGAGTCTGCTCCAATCACCACTCCAATCCCCCCCCGGGACACTCTCTACCGCTTCATCCAGCTTACTCCAGAAGTCCTCTTTCTCTTCTTACTGACATCCAGCCTGTGTGGCATGCCTCAAACCCATGATTTTGTGAATCAGCCAGCTCTCTCTTTGACAGCCACAGTCCTGAAATTAAATGTTACTCCACACTTCTGCCTTTCGTTCTCTCTTGTTACCTCCTAACAGACCTTCTCTTTTTTGTCCATGCTATACTAAAGCTACCATCAGCGGCTCGCGTATTCACAAGGGTTGCCACATCGTGTAGCTCTGCATGTTTGATTTGGCAACGTTTTCACACCAGATGCCCTTCCTGATGCACCCCAAAGGGATTTGTGTCTACAAAAGGTTTATACTATATTACAATAACTATATTGTACTATACTCTAATCTGGTGCTTTTATGCATCTCATGTACACAGTTCTCTTTCTCTTGCATGAGCTCTAAATTACTGTATTTGACTGAAGGACATTTTAACGCCTACATGTTATTGATATTAATTATAGCTCAGCCATTGTGGGGAGCTGTTGGCTCTTGAGACACCAGGTGCTGTGGTAACTTTATATTTACATATTGCAGATTACAGTAGTAAATGTTGCAGTTTGGCTACTCCCATAATGCCAAACACCCGTGGCCATCGTAACTAGAATGCAACTGTGAGACCAACACAGAGACGCTGAGCACTTTAAATGAAAAATAACTCTCAAAGTGTTTTTCTCTGGCCCACGATGAAGCTTCAACAGTACAATGTCAATACAATATGCCATAAAACACAGTTTCTAAATATCTAATTTCACACATTATACATATTTAAATCTGCTACCCTCAATAACACATTACATATGTTAATATTTCACATACAGGAGCATCTATCTATGACAAAATTTGCCTTTGACATACTTGATTCTGACATGATAAATAAATTTAGTTCCTATTTTCTCAGTTAAAAAAGGATGTGTGTGGAAACGGAGAAGTCAGTGAGCATTTCATAGGTCTTCTTTAGACAGTTTGCTAAAAAATGTTTTATGAAAATGAAAAGCAAATAGAGAACAAATGAACAGAGGACTACAGTGATATAACATAAAAATTGTAGTTGTGTAACTTTCAACATAGTGGGTTCTTTATACCCTCTATGAACAGGGGAACTGGTGGCTGCGGTGTGTCAGTACACACAAGCAGATATAAGTACTTGGTGACAAGTGACTTCACCTCCCCAGCCCCATATTAACCTCATAGTTCCTCATAGTTGAACGATTATCTTTTCAGTTGTAATGAGAGATGTCACTTAATCTGTGTGTCTAACACAATTCAACTTTATATAGACTTTGTGTTTCTTCTTCTTTGTGTTTTATCTCCAGTGTTTGCCCAAATCACATCACAATTATCTTTGCAAGAAGCACAATACAGATAAGGTGACGGACAATTTATTAACTTTGTACATGCGATTTGTAATTGTAACATACAGCTTTTCATATACGGTCTTCTAAACCATGATATGAAACCTAATATTCTGTTTTAAATATATTTTTTAAAAAATCCAGTTTAAATATATACAAACAGTAGTAAAAACATTACAAGAGAACTTGTACATGTTCAACATGACAAAGAAGTTGAATGTCATTGCTGTGGTTGAATGACATGAAGCAGAATTTAGTTTTGAAAATATATCAGATATTTCCAAACAGAATATGAACGTCTACCATATATGTGTGCACCCCCACTTAAAACTGCATAGGGGATGTCAACATGCCTACATCCACCCCACCCAAGAGAGGGCTCTGTTTCTTTTCCTTAATGCTTTTAAACAGGCAGCGAACAAGTCAAATCCCTCTCATACCAGGAGTTCGAAGAAAAGAGTCATATAGCTGCTGCTTGTACATTTAATATGAAGCTACAAAATAAAAGCAGATGTAACCTGCTGGAACTCATTGCTCCAGATTCCAAATAGCTGAAAAACAATAATCCCAGCTTGCTTTTACATTTCAGAGATGCAAAGTTTATCAGAAAGTTCATCTGACTGACTTTAGTACCTTTGAAAAGAAGCACTCAATCTGTTTACCCATGGATTTAAAGTCTTAATGTAAAAACCATGTATTTTTTTTTCCACATTTCTGTTGCGTACACAGGAAAACTATTATACTTTCTATCAAAAAGACACAATAAACCAAAATGACAAAAAAGAAATTCTACAAGAAAAATTAAGAACAAAGATTTATGAATGTGTTTGAAAATGATGTTGTAGAGTTTGATGATCGTAGATGATTGTTCCCCGTGGCTGGTAGTGGTTTTGTGGTTTCAGAGGTGAAGTTCAACTTTATGGTTGTTTTGTACATGTTGTTTGTCTGTATTTCATTCACAAGAGTTAGGCGTCAGACAAGAGTTGCCTGCAGTTTTTGAGAGACTGAGCTAAAGTCATTAAACTGTATTACTTTAAGCCTGAAATAAACTTTAATCTGTAATAAACTGCACACTTTAAAGCTATTTTGACTAAAATGGCCCATGGGTAGTTGTAATTAGGAATTCTTTCTAGTTCCTGATATTGACTTTGTCTGTTAGGTGTGTGTATCAAAGGTCTCTCTAAACCATGGTATCACATGACTTTCACTTCCAACTCTGGCCACCTCAACAAGGAACACCAGCAATAACAGCTTTTCAAAAGTACTCATTCACAAATCTCTATACACATTTACAAACAGCGTGTTACACATAATCGTGTTCGGCCCTGACTTTATTTTCATTGTGATCATTTGGAGTATTTTGTCTTCCAAATAGACAGACAAGCCAAACTGAGCTTTCTATGGTGATTCTTCTGTACTTATTAAACGGTCCTCCAGCATGTCTTAGAAGGAAGATTGTGGTCCATAGCTTTATGCTGCATTTACTAGTACCTTCAAAGACCCGGTCACACTGTGCAGCAGTACTCATCAGGAAGACTGATTAAATCTATACTTTTCATTATTCAGTGCTAGTATTTGAGCATTCCTCCTGCCTATATGTATGCTTTTCTGTCTAGATGACTCTTGCCCAGCACCTCATCACTAAACTGGTACGTCAGCTTCTTTTTGATCTTTTTCACCTCTCCGGTTTTGCCATAGTTGCGCAGAGCACGAGCCATCTTCTGGTAGGTCATTTTCTTGCGGTTTCCCTTCTGGATTCCCCAGCGGTGTGCGAGAGCCTCCTTGTGTTTGGAAGAAAACTGGAATGTCCCTTTATCTCTGTCCACCCACCAGATACTGTCCTTCATGTCGCCATTCCTTAAAAGGTCCAACAGAAACTGGTACAAGCGGATCTTCTTTTTATTACCTTTGGAAACAAGAGAGTTGCATCATTAGAAGTGACATATTATAATTTTTTTGTTTTACTTACAGATTAGAAA